AGCACAGTTTTTTGGCGTGCTCAGATTTAATTGTTTGTCATTGGGTCCCGCTGGCGTGAACTTAGCGGGACCCTTTTTAATTTGAGTTTTTTGTTACGAAGGAGTGGCAAACAGTTTTTTTAAAGTTGATTGTTGGAAAGCACAGTTTGTGCACAGTTTTTTAGGATAGGTCGCAAAAACTGTGCTTGAATGGGCCCCGCCAATTTCACGGAGGTGGCGGCTATGGTCGGGCCTGCGGCTCGACCATTTCTGTCACGCGATTTGCTGAAGAACATGATCGGATGATGTAGCAAGACTTCGGCCCCGTATACACGAGAAAGGGATGTAACGGTGAAGCACCGCGACTACAACCCACCCTTCTGCTTTAAAAAACTTTTTTTTTGGGGGGGGGGGGGAGTTTCTTTCCTATTTTGCGGTTTTTACGCCTTTTTCTACAACTTATTGTTCACTATGGCCATTTTTAGCCCGCCCTTCTGCTTTTAAAAAAGTATTAAAGCGGGCTTATGCAACCGCTCTCGTGTCCGTCCGTCCGTCCGTCCGTCCGTCTGTCTGTCTGTCCGTCGTCCGTGTAAGAGGAAGGAGATGAGCTAGAGGTCTGCAAATTTCAGGGTATCTTAGGGGTCACTCCTGGACAACGAAACGCCTGGTGCAAATCCTAGCAGCCACCCCTAAGGGGGTGAAAGGGGGTAACAAAGAAATAGGGGTTGGTCCAAAAAGTAGAAAAAAAAATATTTTTTTATGGTCTTCTAAGGGGTAACTCGTGAAAGTAGAGCCCTCTGGGCGAAAATTTTGTCCGTTTGACTCTATCTTGAACCGTTTGGGCGGTAGAGTGCTTTTTTCGACAAAAATACGGCGAAAATGACCACGTTGCACATAAAGACGTACAAGGAGGCGTCTAATCGTAAAATGTCAGAGGAAGTACCCCCCCAAAACAATACATTCTGAATCAGGAAATACCCTCGCATTAGCCGTATCTTTTACTGTTTCGGCCCTAGAGGTGGATATATTGGAAACAATGGCAAAAAGTCAAGTTATAAGACTCTTTGACAAACAATATACAATCTAAAAACTGCGCGGGTTCATTTTTTTTTGTAATTTTTAAGCAAAGCAGAAGGGTGGGGTGTAGTCACGGTGTTGCCCCGTTACAGTCTTTTGTCATTTACAAGGAGCAAATCTCTTGGGCCGCAGGCCCCCCGCCGAACGCTTTAGTTTACTCCAATATGCAAAGTAATTTACCGGTCACATTATTTATTTGATTATGCACTTCAGTAAATCGCGAGACTGAAATGGTCGGGCCGAAGGCCCGAACATCGCCGCCGGCAGGCCAAGCAGGCCCGGCCCCTGCCGAACCGAGTTGCCGGCGCAGCGAAGTGGAGCTGGCTACTCGGTTTGGCGGAAGGGCGGGCCTGCTTGTTTAGCTTATTTTCGTCAAAGAAAAGACCCTCTAGCGCCTAAACGGTTAGAGATAGAGCAAAACGAACGAAATTTTCGTACACAGGGATTTACTTTCACGAGTTAACCCTTAGGAGAACATAAGGAAAAAACTTTTTGGGAGAATTTTTGAACCTTGGTTGCCCCCATTCACACCCTTAAGCCCAAAAGAGGGTGTAGTGCGACCTGGTTCATGTATTACTCCCTATACAATTCTGTGACATGAAGCCTTTTTACGATTTAATGGGCCAATTTTGTCTTTTTCACGTTGTTTTCGCCAAGAAACGCCCCATAGCGCCGAAACGGTACAAGATAGAGCAAAACGGACGAAATTTTTGCCCAGAGGGCTGTACTTTATCGAGATTTTAGAGCAGAAAGGCCCCGACAAATGGTCCGAGAATGTCAAATTTTGGGCTCGGAAGGCCCTGTTCCCCTATATACTCTCTCCTTAACTCGTCTCGGGTGTCAGCGCCGCAGGCCTAGCTATGTGCGCGCCAGGCGCGTCGCAGCGGAACAGTGTTTCGTGAGATATCGCGAAGCCAGTTACGCGAGACGTGGTCTGGTGTACATAGTTATGCTGGAGCTACTCATGAGAGGTTTCCAGCGTGAGTTCTCGGCAAACTGTCCTATAACGGCCAAAAACGCCTTTTCATTGGGGAAAGGACCATAAGCATGAAGAAATTTTTTTCTGCAAGATCACTGTCACTCGGGGAATTCCATTGAATTCTGCGCGCCAGATTGTAGAGCGGCAGTTTAGCGCACATGACTGGTGTTTGCCCCTTGTTTAGGTGTTTTACTTGCAGCCTGACAAGGTCCACGCCGTGGTGCATTATAGTTTTCCTCGAACAAGGGCGAACGTGAGGTCGTCGCAGGCAAATGGGTCGCAACGTCGTTCATTGCCTTAAAAGCTGCCTACGACACATTTATATAAACATACTGACTGTCGTCATCTAGTAGGCCTCGCACATCATGCAACCTATCAGTCTCTTCTTTGAAGACGTTCAAAACACCCTGAACAATAAGAGAACAAAACAGTTACCCCAAAGGTTGAAGGTCTATGTCTTGCGGCTTGCGGCTGTTTCCAAGCTACGCAACTGCACAGCCGGTTGCTTCGATTTTAGCCCATATTCCGGAACTTGGGAACGGTACCGCAGGCTTTTCGCTGCTACATCTGTATGAGAGATTTGCTTGTTCCTTTTCAAACTAGCCACACTCTCCGTTTGGAATATGGGTATACTTGTCCCATTAAATGAACCCTTAGATGTTCTGCTTGGTGAGGTTATGATCAATATTATCATAGGCTCTAATAGTACAGCGGCCTTCCTGAAAACTACTAGGTCAAGGAACACTCTTCCTCAGCTCTTTCTGTCTCAAGGTGGCACAAAGCAGAGGTCACTTACATTATTTTATTGGATGACACTAATACTTCAAATTGGTGCATTTCATCGATTGCTTTACGACTTCTTGAGCGGCCGTACGTAAACAGACCCAAAAGTATAGTGAACGGAGCCGCTAGATCTCTCTCATTTCTTACAATGTCACCCTGTGGAACTTTTTTTTTTGTAGGTTCAGCATTATTAATTGAGCAATTAAAAGGGCTGGCTGGGTGGCTGCATTGCTTGGCGTGACAGTATCGGCATACATTAGGAGACTAATTGCCGCTAGCAAGGCCAGGGGTGCGCACAACTTCTGCCTCGCCCTGGAAGAGTCCCCGTCAAAGGTAGTTGGTCTATCAAAAATAGTTCTACGGAGGCTTTTGAAGAACCACTGGAAGGCCAAGATTCTCGTCTCGGCACTGTGCCCGCGGGGGAGCACCCCTGCCTCAACACCAAGCAGCTGTGCCAGACGGTCTTAGTACATGGATATTAAATCCGCTAGTTTCATAGCTTTCCCCTCTCCCGCCTTCCCTGAAAAAAAATTATCATGTTGAAATTTAGTTTACAGAGATTTAATTGTACAAAAATGCAATCTTACTGTGAATGGAGGCTGCCAAAACAGAAAATGCGATGCTTTCGCACATTACATCACTGTCGCTCTTTTCTTCATTCCGATCTAGCCTCCTTGCTTTATTTTAAAGCTTAGACAAGTACTTTAGATGGTATTTGGCCTCGAGCGCAATTAAATCTGCTGTCACAAGGATAGCCAAAAGTTTGCTGAAAATCACAGAGTGAGGTATCTCGTTCTCCTGACAATGAGAGCGAGGTTTTGTCATGCCAGCTTTCCATCATAGACGACTATTTGAGCAATTTCACCAATACAGGCATGTCACCAGAAATAGATATGGCAATAACATTGGTTTTCCTTTAAGTCACACCATTCACACAGACAACTTTGTAAAGTGGAAGCATGGCATCTCTTGGTATGTTTGTATGATACCAAAGGACCTGAAATTCCTATCTGAATTCCTCTCGAGTTATCGTGCAGACAGAAACTAACAATAACCACAAATAGAATAGAGCTTTTTCAGTCAGTAGAGTAATGGGCTTTCCGATGGGCTCATCCATTAAAAAAAATAAAAATAGCAGTATGTTCCGACTGCGTCTTGTAATGCCCGTTCTAAACCAATTTTTGAGCTACAGAGCACAAAATCAATACAATTTTTGTTTTTTATGATACGATGTTACACTTACACTTTCAGGTTAACTTAATCCGTTCTCGAGTTATCGTGATTGGAGACAGACAAAGAAACAGACGAGGAACTTTTTGATCATCACTGAAGTAAAAGGCTTCGCTATCGCTCAGATTACGAGTCATTAGCTGAGCCATGCCTTCTCCATAACCGAAGAACCGCTTACTCAGATTTTGCCCTATACTTCCGATGTAACCTGCGACTCATTATCCCCGGAGAGTCCGTTGTCAATGACACAGTATTTCCAGAATCGTGGGTGAAGCATGTGAAGCAACCGAAGTAGATAAGATACGAACGCAGTACTTTAGCGGCAATTGCCGTCGGGCCCGTACTCTCTCTGCAGCCTTTGTTCGCGTCTTTACCGCAGCTGCACACACACACCGATTGAGAATGATGACGAGAAAAAGAGGTACGGAACTACTGCTTCCTTTGGATTAGTGCTTTGAACATGCCAGCCCCAGAACAGTGAAGGCAATAGGATAGGGGAGGCCAGGGCTACCTTAAAACTGAGGCTACTTAAGGGGAGGGTATACTGAAATCTTTAAAATCTAAACAAGAGACAATTTCAAAAAAGTGGTTAATAATAGTAGTAGTACTCACTTTAAAAACTCATTTAAGCTATAGCATGTCCAAATCCATCAAAACACTTTGCGCATAGAACTTTTTTAACTTAAAAGTTTACGTAACTTTGAAAACTTCTGTGCGCACAGTTTTTTGGTAGACTTTTGGCATTCTATACCTTAAATTAATCCTCAAAGTGCGTACTACAACAATTATAGAGTACTTTGTTGATTTTATCTCTTGTTTAGATTTTAACTCAGTTAATTTATTAAATTAGGTGATTTATCAATTTTTTCAGTATACTCTCCCCTTAAACACCCCAACTTTTGGAACAACCGCGCATCAAGTAAAAAATTATGGGCTCAAACCCCTACTAGAAATTCAACTGCTCATGACAATGTTTGAGTAGTCATATTCCCTGTTGCGCCAGGGTAGTCGGTGGAATGGCCATTGCTTCGAATTTTTGGGGAAGATGATCCACTGTAGAGTTTTTTATAAACAATGTTTTCCATTTGAAATGCAGAAGAGTGACTAGTGGCCATCTATGAAGGTTTTCTCATTCCATTTTCGCGTCGAATCGACGGTTAAAACTGATACTCTTGAATTGACGATTCGATTTGTAGAATCGGTAGCCCTTTTAATGCTGAATATGCACTGGAAAGCGTTTTGCGATGTCTCAAAGGGCTAAGCAAGCATCCAGAGCGCCCTAAAGTCGGCCTCCTCACTCCCCCTCTCACCGACATCGCGACGCTATTGCGCCCTCCGAGGCTGAGAACCGCTGCGCAGCAGCGTGCAGCGCGATAGTCCATGCCGAGGGCTTTTCGTCGCTGTTATCCGATTAAAAATATGTTGAGCAGTCTGGCAGATATGACGAAATGAACGTAGTTCGAATTCCCGTCCAATGAATCAGTATTTTCTCCGAGCGCTAGAGTGTGAATCTGAATCCCTTTTGGCGGCGTATTTCAGCACCTGACCAGGAATAAAAATTCAGGTCCGGATCTCAATGGGAACACATAGAAAAGTAACAATTTCTGTTTAGCCCTACGGCAGCTGGTTCGAATCGCGCGCGAGACAGTAGTAGGCGGCACTGACAGCCCGCCCAGCCCCGCCTC